GTTTAGGCTGTCAACACTTTATTTCTGATTGGCTGGGAAAACTGAAACCAAACAAGTTGTCAACAGGATGTCAAAATGAGTTGAAGGGGGCGGCAGTTGAAAAGGCCACGAATCCGGGCAGGCGGTTTTTATTTTTCCCGCGGCTACGCCGCTCCTACGCCCGGCTCGACAAAACCGCCATGCTACGCAGGCTAGAGTTGGTCTCGCTCTACGTCCAATTTTTATGCTCTGATTGGTCAAAATTTGACAGGTGAGATCATCCGGAAAAATTATGCAGCATCTTGAAAGTTGTTTACTTTGACAGCTGAAGCTGACAGAGTTTTGTGTCAACTTGTGATGTTTTTAACTGTCTTTTTCTTCTGGATGTACAAAATGAAATACAGCTGCTATCAAGAGTCTTCTGTTATTCATGGCTGGTTTGTTTACTGGGTACGTTTTTGGTTGAGAAATGCGTCGCTTGTCAAAATTCGGTAATTCGATTTCGGAAGGCATCGTTTTCGTTTTTCACCTTTTTTCACCTTGTTTAATGCGTAAGGGGGTTTAAAAAGACTCAAGCAACTGTGGCCTTCCTTGATAGCTTTCAGGAACTGAATCTCGAGTGGTAAGCCTGAGTAATTATTGTATTTGATGTTTGTTTTTGTTATATCTAATTTCATGAAGTCTTGCACAGTTCACGCTGACAGTTTATGCGGCAAGTTTATGCACGTTTGTAGGATTTGACTCAGTATCAGGTTTGATATAAGCTTACAGAACTTTAAAAAGCTTTCAGATACATTTGCTCACCACAAATAGAAAGAAAACGTTCCGAAGAATATTTAGTTATAAATTTGGCTGCAGAAAGAAAACTTTGAGCGATTTTCTTGCTTCGAGGAGTTCACCTTCGAAAACAGTAAACACCGCGTCGGCAAGCCGGCTTAAGCTTTACGCTAAAAGACTCAGGATTTTTAGAGACACTTTAATGCTTGTCTTCGTGAATGAAAATTGTTGTCTCTGTAAATGTTTCACCGAATTATATTTCTTTTTTTGATTTTTAGTAGTCTCTCTTTCAATTTTAATCGCTTGTCCGTGCCGTTTGTTTTCATCGTTCGAGAACATCGCTTGCAGGAGTACTCAAAACTGTCGTGCGTATCAAACGCTTTATAAGATTACACATCGTTATAACTGAAACCGTTAAATAACAAAAAAATAATAATAATAAATTCGCTGTTATGTTGAAGCGTAACTCTATTAAAGTTCATTCAAACACTCGACCACACTGACAGCTCGCACTATAGAAACGAGAACCAGCTGGCCGTATGGGTGATTTTGGAAATTTTTGATCGGTTTCGCTTAAAGCCCACGATTGATCGTCCTGATTGACTGCGTGCAATTTGTCTTGAAAAATTGTGAAATACCGCATTCTGTCCGAGGTCTGTATGATAAATAGTACTGTTTCACCACAAATGCCATGTATAAAAATTATAAAAGGTTGGTTTAAACACCCTCAGATTTGTTGGCAAGAATTTGTAAAGTAAACCTGTCGAACGCAAAAAAATTCGGCGTGATTTGTTTTCCAAGAATTTGTTGTCGTGGCCTAATCTACTCTGATCTTGAATGTGATCAAAGATGTTTGCTATTTTTTGGGTGTACATATAAGGTTATCAATTCGATGTAAGATGTTTCACTCTAAAATAACTTAGCCTCTCCCTCAAAAGTCACATGAATGTGCCCTTAAGTTAACTGATTTGTGGATTAAAAGTTTATTGTTTGATTTAAATTATAAATTTATTAATTGGAGCTTCGCTTTTAGCCCTGGCTAAATCTATATATTATTTATTCGTAACTATTCTTGTACTTTATTTTGATGACTATGATATACATGTGAATACGTTATTTAAAGCGGTTAAGAATGGCTTTACAGCAAAAGTTAAAAATATCTCTATATTCAAGTCAGCTGTCAATGGCAAAACGCAGTTGATGTTAAGCGCATTGTTACTCGATTAGCCTTATTGTTTCAGTTCAGTGAGGGTCAGTCTCGATCCTCAAAACGGGAGACATAAAATAAGTCAACTACAATGGAACCCCGTTAATGTGGCTACCGTTGGGCCATAAAATCCTAGTCGTAAAAATGAGATGGTCGCATTAAAGGGTGATTTTGGAAAAAATAAAAATGAAAAAAGTCTGATTTCTACGTTTGAATCGAGAGAATATGGTCGTAATAACGAGGTGGTCGTATGGCGGGGCTCCACTATGTTGCTATTAAAATTAATTACCAGGCGAGCTTGTACCCTAAAATAATTCATGTCCATTTGTGGTTATGAGATTAGCGAGTGGAAAACATGCCAGACCGTACGGAGTGGGTCTGAGTTTTATAAAAAAAGAGAAACTAAAACTCGTCTTTGGGCGTTCCCATTGCACAGCTTTTTGAGTAGAAAAAGGTAATAAAATGTATAAAAATGATTTTAATCCTTTTTCATTGTTTGTTTTGCTATTTAAAAGCTGGTTTACACACAGAGATTGTATGCCCTATTTATTTCCAAAGAAAATATATGGTGATACAACAGATTATTTTAATCCATCCGGTTTTCAGCCAGTTTTAATCTTTTCGTTTTTCTTTCGAAAAATCATAGCGTGAAAACCGGCTTAAAGCCCTTCAGTTACAAGAGCAAGTTTTCTTTAATAAGGAAAATGTTCTCCGCCGTTGCTGCGTAAGCCCCATTATGTTACATACTACTTGACTCACAATTTTGTTATCGCTCGAGAAAGAAGCTGCCTCCAACATAAATGTCTGGCAATTGCTTTGCAGCAAGTATGTGTTGCGAAAAGGAAGGTCATCTTCCACATTATGTAACGACGTCTGCTAAAGCAAAAATAAGAACAAAGACGTTGCGCTCTGTTTTTGACTGACTCTAGATCATAATAGCCGGAGGGGCTTTTCAACGAAGTTTTATATGGGGAGGCTCCACCCTGAGGTCCAACCTCTTAACCCTTTTACGTACCATTTTTGACAGACAAGATACCCTTTCTTATGCTTTCCATTGACAAATGGTGCCTCTTTCAGCATACCTCGTTGAGAACTTTACATCCTTTTTTTTTTACTGCTATATGATAAATGCACAACCAGGAGGCGTCACTTACCTTTCACCCGCCATTTTTTTTTTCTCACGATTTCGTGGTTGCGTAAATTAATTTATTTTCATTTTTATTAATTTTAACGATACACTAGTTAGCAGCACACATACACTTTCAGTGAACATTTTCAACTTGGAAGAAGGAGAAACCATGCTCGCCCGGGACAAAGGAAATTTTCATGCCCCGTTACGTTTAAAATATGCCATAATCATAGTTATCTATCGCAAGAACTATCCACCCATCTATCTACCTGTACGCCTACCCCTGATATCGAACGCACTCTCCTAAGCTCCTATTACTCCTAGTACAAACATTAAGAGTGCAAAGATATAGCTCTGTAAAGTTGCACAAATTGAAAGACGTTTGTACGTGGTGGAGGGGTGGGGGGGGGGGGATGGGAGAAGCAAGTTTGTGCCCGGCCCCCACCATACAAACGTCTGTAAAATTTGGCGACATTGAAGAGCTATATGTTGGTTAGTTTTCAACAAATCCGACTTTTAGACTTTGCAATTTTTCTAATTTAAAGACGTTCTTTCCATAGGTTTCTTTAGCTTGTCCATGTCAAATATTGAAAATAACGTAGAATAGTCCATCCTGAATTGAAAGAGGTATCCTTTTGGGCAGCGCTTCCCCGTTAGGTTATTATAGGGAGCCCTCCCAACCCACCTTCAAAGTATATGATATGGGAGTTTAAAAATAAACACATGAACTCTAGACACGTTAAGGCATGTGTAGCTGGAGGTTAATGGAGCCGCTACTTCTTCTGACAGTAACATATGGTCAACTTTGATTGAAAGCAAAGTTATTTTTTTGGCTTTTTGGCGCACTAAAAAGGAAAGGAATCGGATACCGTTAGAAACACAAAGTCATGATAGCATGCATAAGACTTGCTTTTAAAAGTAGCTTTTTTTAAAATTTGTGTTCTGTAATTAATTTTTGGAATGTTTATCTTTTGACCCTGTTTCAGTACCCTAAAGCTGGCTTAAAAACAGAGAATAAGACGATCAAAAAAATTGCCATAAAAGGTAAAAGAAACAAGCAAAAACAAACAAACAATATACCGGAACAGCTGAAAATTTACTTAAAATATTTACTATAAAATGAATGAGCACGTAGCACCGATTTCAGAAAACGCTGTGTTCTCGTTCAATTCTCACCGCCAGGGTTCGGTATTTCGCTGTTTTCCTGATTCTCTCTCTTTTTGGCGGCTCTCTGGTAACAACCACCTCATCTCAGCAACAAAACGACACAGAGTTAAAAGACTTATGCCAGGTAAGAAATGCATAAAGATATAAAAAGCAGTACTGCGCCGTAGATTAGGTACACCAAGAAACTGTTTTACTATATATAGTCTCACGTCGTTATGATCATTTACTAAATGGTACCCGTTAACAGTGTATGGCAGATTATGTAATCGTACTCGCTTCAGCATGATCTTTCCTCGAAAACCTGAAGCCTGTCCATTGTTACCTGTTAATTTTCTCTGATTGCATCCAAGTCTCTTAGAGGCGAGATAACGCTTTAAATAGGATTATGATGTCCAAGGTCCATTCCGTGCCTCGAAAACAAGGGAGACGGCCGGTGTTACAGACTTTGTTCATTTTGGTGTGGAATCATTGTTTGCGAGGGAACTACGGGCGTGTATGAACGGAATTATCCTTTCATTTCCAAAAGAGAATTAATCTAAGTAAAAATGACATGCATAAATTCTTAGAGACAAGGTCCTAAAACTGGTTTGGATTTTAGAGTCCAAGTCTGAAAACGGGTGTAAAAAATGACGTGTCTTGGTCTGAAATAGAGTCAGGATTTGGGGAACCGGGTGGCACATCCCCACCAAGAATTCCCAGAAGTACATCCAGCCATCCAGCCCCCAGTTATTAAGATCCGTGTCGTCTTCCTCTGTGCTAATTACAAGTCATCTTTACTTTCAGCGATCTATGCTGGGTTTCCCTGGTATTCCAGGATCAAAAGGTATACCGGGAGTGCCGAGCGGTCCGGGGCCACACGGACCCCAAGGAAGAGAAGGTGTAAAAGGACAAATTGGTGATAAAGGATCACAAGGAATGCCGGGTCCAAGAGGAGACAGAGGGCGCGAGGGAACCCCTGGGAAGAGTGGACCCCGAGGAATTAAGGGAATGAAAGGTGAACAGGGACTTGTGAGAATGAAAGGAGAGCGAGGCATTGTGGGAAATCAAGGAAGAAAAGGAGACAAAGGAGAGAAAGGAGAAAGCGCCAAAGCAAGTCAAGCAAGAGTAGTACCACAAACCAACTGGAAACAATGTGTGTGGAAATCAGACAGCGATACTTATAACGGAAAGATTAAGGTAAATAGAATAAGAATCATAACACACTCCTAAGAAAGTTCATTCCTTTTTAAATTAAAATGTTTCAAAGAAGAACGTCTCCCCTCTCACTCACCGTTTGCCAACACCTTACATAAATAACTAAATTGCATTTCTCTCTACTTTGGTTCCTTTGATACGAAAAACAGAAAACCGTGGTACGTGATAAAATGATTCCTGACCATATGGATAAGGACAACAAAAATTTAAGCTTTTACAGAGTTTTTAAACATTAGCAAGTAATCTTGACTGGCGTTGTTAGAATCAATCAATACACAAGGTTGCTCGCCCTACTACAATATGTTTGATTTGTTTGATTTTATTCTAGGACTGTGCGTTTAACAAACTACAGTCTAATTCAGCGCTCAGAGTCTCATTCCAGGGCAACATGAAGGTCCAAAGTAGTGTTAAGTGTAACCGGTGGTATTTCAAGTTTAATGGAAATGAATGCAGTGGATCAATGACGATTGAGGCTGTTGTTTACAACTGGTGGCCATCTGGGAACCCTGATCTGTTGCATCATCGGTCATTTGATGGGTACTGTGAAAACATTCCACAAGGCGCTGTAAGAGTGGAATTATGGGTAGGAAAGTGTAGTGGTCAAACCCTGGGTAATGCTTACACTGGGTGGAAATCAGTTTCCCGGATAATGATTGAAGAAGTATCTAGGCCCCAGTCCTAATAAGGGGACTCTTTAACTTTAGCGCTGTTTTAATTTCCTTAGAATAGCATTCTACAAATATAGACTGCAAAGCGCAAGGTGCGAAAGTATTGTTTTTGGTTATTTTCTTTTTAACCCTTTGTGGCTACTTTCGTCGTATTAGGTTGTCAATAGTAAACTCTAATAACAGTATCAAAATTTTGTATTATTATGTCAGCATGTTAGTCTCCTATTCATGACTTTTGTGCAGCAGTTCTTTGTTATGTCACGCACGCTTTTTAGCTCCTTTGCGTGGAGGCACTTTTCGTGACAACACAATAATCGGCTGAGCCCGTAGGGATTTGGTCCCCCCCGCAGCCGTTTTGTCTTGTCAAGCGACGCTCTTTCTCACTGCGTAACGAGACAAAATGGTTGTTAAGGAGTAGCGATTGATTGGTTATGCTTTTTTAGGTGATATTTTATGGATGCAAAATATATCACTACAGCTTCAGTTGAACCCAGTCTCACTTTTGGCTTACCACGTATACAATCAGATTGTCTATAGATATGTTAAATTAAAGGTCGTGATATAATCTTTCACCGCCAAAGAAAAAAAAAATGCTGAAGAGGTGATCTTTGCCTTCAAAATATTTTAGAAAATCTTTAATTAAATCGCAAGCTAGAAATGATTTGATTAAATCTTTAATCAAAGCACGATTCTTTTTGTAGCTAAACGCTTCGAGGCAAAACCATTATTAAAAATGGAAGGAAAATGAATATGATTTTAGGATAACTTGATTATCTCTAGCCTGCGTGCCAGGGTTCGAAAGGGAAGGGAAGCGAATTTAGGCACGAGGCCGCACGCGAGGGAGAAGGGAGGAGAGGCGCATTCCCCTTCCTCCTTCCTCGCGCGCTCTTCGTGCTTCCCACGCGCCCATATCCTCTTTCCTTGCCCTTTGGCATACTACAGTCTCAGTCAAAATTGTTGGGACACTTTTGTGTCTCCTTGTCCCCTCAATGTTGGTGTACAAGATTTGGTGACTGAACCGCGATAAACAACTTTGAGAGGGACAAGGGGAGCACGAGAAGGAAAAAAATAGCGTTTGGTCTAAGTGTCCCAACTATTTTTGTCTGAGACTCAGGGGCACCCAACGGATCTGTTCCTCACAATATCTGTTCTACAGCGAAAATTTTGCTGGCTGGGAACTGAGGTTTCGGCTGTTCTCCTGGGAAGTAAAGTCTATTGAATCTACGGTCAAGAATATATCAAATGTATCAAAAATTCTTGCTGGAGGTATTTTATCCCTCTAATTTGCTAGAAATTTTCTTTTTGCGCGAATTGTGCGCGCGGCTGGCGCGCGGAGTCGCACACTGATGATTTATTTACCGCTGACCAAAAAATCTGCACGTGGGCACCGTTGTTAGAAATTAGAAATCAGGGGCGCTTTCCATTTAGGAAAAAAACCCGGAAATTTCGGTGGAAGCAAAAGTGGAATTTCCGATCGGTAAAAAGTTGTTCCATTTGGTCGTAAACCCCGGTACGTCGCGGTGCCCGACGGGACACCAAGATGGCTGCCGAGTTGGTAACAATTTTACACGAGTTGGTAGATGAAGAGGTGGAAATTTCATTTGGTTTTGATGAGGAGGAAGACATTAATGTATTAGTAGCCGGATCAACTTTTATGAGAAGAAAGTTAATAGGAATGACGCGTTTTTTGAAGTTGTTGTACCAACGTATTCGGTGGATGAGTTTAAATCCCACTTCAGAATGACAAGAGGCACACTTGAAAAATTATGCCGAGAAGTTGCAGCCACGGGAACTATACCGGAAGGAAACCGTTATGGAAGACCGCCAATTCCTGTGCAGTGCCAGGTTTTGGCATTTGTTTGGTTTATGGCCAATTCAGAAGTCATGAGATCGGTATCGGATCGCTTTAACATAACGCTGAGCAGTTTGTCCAGAGTTATTCAACGCATTACAGAAGCTTGTATTTCCATGCGACAACAGTATATCAAGTGGCCTACTGGTACGTTTACTGTTTGCCATGTTGAAAGGGTCATAAAAAAATAGTCAGCTTAAATAAAGTAGTTATATTTGAGGAGGCACATGCACGGATTGATTATTAATTTAGTAATGTTGCTTTTCGAAGGTAGGAGAACAGGGGGAAGGCGGGGTTCCGTGGGAAACCATGGATGAGGGTGTGTCACCCATCGCGCAGAATGCGTATTGTTCTCGGGACATTTACTTCCAGTTCAACAAAGTTTGTAGATCTTTCAATATCACGCTTTGAGCGCGCAGAAGCCGGTAGACGCTCAGTGTAATGGTCTGTAATCAGTGTGTAATGTTTTGCTTCCGTATTTGAAAAGGTTTTAGCTCTTATACAAACCAAAACGGTGGGTAAATGAGTTTACTTTCCTTAAGAGAGCTCAAACTGACTAAAGCTGTTGCCCTGTACAACAGAGATCAGCAACCTGAGTACCAATCGGAAGAAAATTCGACACAGGCAATTCAGTGTTCGCATCTATTCCAATGTTTACAAAATAATTTTAGTTTGTAGAGTGGCTGGTCGCAGTCACTGCACCTATAGGCAGGGGTGCAGATATTAAATTTATGGCTATAATTGTATGTGTCATATATAGTTATATTCTGTCAACTCTGTTACAGAGAATGAAATGCATGAAATAATGAACAATTTTGAAGCTCAGGATATTCCTGGCTTTCCAAGAGTTATTGGAGTTATTGATGGAACCCATATAAAAATAAGAGCGCCAACAGTGCAGCCAGATTCCTACATTAACAGGAAGAAATTTCATTCTCTTAATACCCAGGTGAGCTTCTTTTTCAAGTTGATATATACCGTAGACGAGTCATGATGCTGTAAGTGGTAGTTTTGTTGGAGAACAGTGTTTTAGGCAAGACCTAAAGGCAGAGTAACTTTGAAAATGATAACATTACCTAACAGCTGTTACTCTACTACAAATGCATTTGACTATAATCTGTACGCTAGTGTTTATTCTTTATTGTCTTTTAATGCATAGGTTGTATGTGATGACAACATGGTTTTTAGAGATATTCTTGTGGGTTGGCCAGGTTCAGTACATGACTCAAGGGTCCTGAGGAATTCATCTCTGCAAGCCACAGCAGTGCACAAGTTTCCAGGAGACACACATCTGTTAGGAGATGGAGGTTACCCATTGAAGAGGTTTGCCTTAACTTTGAAATTGAGTGGTTACAGTTCAGGATTTTCTCTAAAAGCTGTACACTCTAGTGTTTACTACTTGTCTTGAGTATTATGCTCTGGCAAAACTGTGCTAACAAAGTTAGCTCATTGCCCTTGATTAAGCTGATTTTGCCACAGAATGGCAAAGGGCAGCCCCACCTTCCTCACAGTCTACTGCATAGAGAGTAAAGAATGCTCAAACACAACAAGATAATTCCTGAATTTTTGACTTGATTGGCTGCTGTTATTATGACTGTTACATTGATAGTGAAAAGAATATCAAGGATATGAGTGTGATATTCTACTTTTTCATTAGGTGGTTAATAACCCCTTTCAGAGACAATGGCCACCTGACTGCCAGACAGAGGAGATTCAATTACAAACTTTCCATATTGAGATCTATTGTAGAACGCTCAATTCAACTCCTGAAAGGAAGGTGGAGAAAACTACTATCTCTCAAGCACATGGATATGGAGCTACTTGTTCATCTAATCATGTCTGCATGTGTTTTACACAATTTTTGCCTACTGAATGATGACTTTGATGAAGGCTACTTTTTAGATTGTGGTGATGGTGCTGATGATGATGATGGAGGAATTGATGGTGGTCCTCATGCTGGCCCACTACCAACAGCAGAAGCCAAGCGAGTGCAGTTAATGAACATTGTGTGTTAAAAGGCAATTTAAGCTATTAACCTACCGGTGTATGCTTTCTCGAGTTCATTATGGTGTATGATGGCATTATGGTCAAACTGCTTTACATACACATTCATTTTAGTAGTCTGAAGTGTCTGCCATGCCGTAAAACCACTCCCTAGACTAAAACCAAGTGTACTGTTTTAACCAGTCTTTCAGTGATTTGTTTAAATAAATAGCACAAATATGACAAAATGAACTGGTGCAGGTATTTTACGTGGATTATATAATAGACTATTTTACAACTACATGTATATGCTGAGCAAGTTTGACTTTGGGGCTGACTGTGACCTTGTTTTCATGTTTGAAAAGTTGTGAAGATTCTATCAAAAAAAATCTTGGCTTAAACAGCCTGGTGCCTTGCTTCCACTTAAAGACTAGGTCGCTTAGAATACATCTGAACAATTGACCTAAATTACTTGCATCACCTGTATTTTTTAACATATTATGCACACTAAATATCAAATATGTTTGGTTTAACATCTGAACTGAATATACAATTTTCAGCTGTAAGAGCTGACTTCCATAAATGTTGAAAACATCATTTCAGTTTTCAAAACACCTCCGACAAAATGATAAGCAAGTTACGCAGATTACACTTCAATGTAGTGTGACTCTTGTTGGATGCAGAACTTTTGACTGATTGTATACAATGCAAGTCTTGCAAGGGGAATAAATAGTTTTACGTGCAAACCACAAAGGTTATTAAAAACAAGAATCTTAAGGAAAAGAACACAACAGAATCAAGGTGAGTCTAAAATGTGTATATTTAGGTTGACAGTCAAGCAAAACAGCACAAATTAGATACATTTGCCTCCTGCCAGACAATCAATGATTGGCTTGTCCAACATCACCAAATTGAGGAGAACTGTTATGAGAGAAGCCAAATGATTGCTTTTGAGGGGACTTACTAAGCCGAGGTAAACTGAGAACTTAAAAAAGCAGGGTCAAAGAGACTCAAAAGTAAACGCAACATTATAATGTTTATTAATTTGTGTAAATTGCTAACATTATGTTATGTAATACAGAAAATGTTAATATCCTGTTGAGGACATTGTAAAAAACCCTTTCGGATGATAGACATTCTTATAAACCATATGGCAAAGTCTTCAACACAACTAAGATGGTGACAAATAATAATAAATATTTCTTCACTGACCGTGTCTACTTCCAAATTACAAATAATGTTGTTCTTAATTTTGTGTTTCTTAATTTGTCTTATGGTCCCTTTAAATCACAAGAGAAAATAACAAGAACATAACAAGGCAATAGCTAGGCTGTTCTAACTGGACAATACTAAGAGTGAAATTGTTTATTGAACAGCTCTCTTTTAGGGATGTTTGTGGGGGACAAGGAGCTGCAAAAGTTGCATCAGAAAATCATTCATTCGTACAGCATGTCATGAAGTTGTACAAGCAGGTGCTCAGGAGTTTTAGATAGCAAATACAGCAATGCACCTGTAGCTTATGCCCGACCATGGTCCCTGAAATGCTAATACAGTGCAAAATACATTGTTGTTTCTTTTCCAAATTAATGAGGTTATGTTATTAACTTACAAAATGAAACCAAATGTCATAAAAAAAAGTTAATTGGACAAAACATGCTTTGCAAATGAGGGTTAATGAATCATGAAATCTGTGACTTTGCTGTAACAAGCTCTAAACTCTGTGATAGAAAGAAAACGCAATGAGACTTCGAGATCAGAGATCAAATATTTTCAGGGCCTGTTTATACAAGGCAAGCCAGCCCAGTTAGCCCTGCTGGCCCGCTTTACCAGGCTGACTTGGCCCATGCCTTGTTTCCTCATGAAATTTTGTTTGTTTACATCAAAAGGCAGGCTGGCCCTGCTGGGATCCCGGTTACAACAGGAGGGCATTTTGTATGCGCATGCGTCAATATGGGCTGTTGAAGTGCCACAGAGCGACCACAGAGGCATTTTCTATGAATTGTTTACATTCAGTACCAGCATTTGCAGGCTGTTTTCTGGCGCTGATTGACGTGTATTGGGTGCTACGTTCCACAAACATGTTCTTTAAGGTATCGAGGTATTTCTACGATGAAAGTGAGTTTGTTGTACCTTCGCTGTCGCCCTTGAAAGGACAGTCTTTCCTTTCGTAAAACAGTACATCGAAGACAAGATGGCGGCTGAATGTTCTTATCACCTAACATTTCGCGAACATTTTTTTGAGCAGGAGGAAAAGGTCAGTATGATAGTTTTCGTTAAACAATTATCCTATAGAAACTTAATTCTTCTCAATAGTATAACTCCAAAATCGAACTTAATCGTTTCAGGAATACAGTGGTTAATTAAGTATCCATTCTGCCGTGAAACTGTTTTTCCCCCTTTCTCCGGCTTGTTTATCTCGAAATCTTGCCTTTCTCCCCAGGTTAAGTTAATGACTAATGAAACTAAGAATACTTCCGCGAATGAATGGCGCTTTGATGAAGGCTGTGAAAAATCACCTTCTGCAGTAATTTTAGCTTTCTTCTCCGATACGTCTTCGTTGAGAAATAAAATACACGCACTTCAACTATAAATTTAAATCAATATAATGATGCCAGTAAGATTGTGTTTTGAAAATACGAATATTCTATCATTTAGGTATACAAAGGAAAAAAAATTACAGCAATCGGTTTGAATTCTGATTTTTTCCACCTTATTTTGATGATACACTGTTTGTTTACATTTCATTATGCAAATAAATATAACATTTTGGCGTTTTAAAGAAAAACTAGCCTAACTCCCCAACCCCAAAATAGCACGAAATGAAACGTTATCAATACACCTTTTAAATAAATCCTGGCTTCTGCTGCAAAAAAATCGCATTTATTCCTAAATGATACCATTTTGTGGATACTACATTTGTTCATATGCTAATTTGTGAGACATTTCATTCACGAAGGATGTTCACTGAGACCAGCTTCTCCTCTGTATTGAACCACATTCTTGTTTAATGCATCAGTTTCTGCTTGATAATTCTTCCATGATGTACAACTTACATAAGGGGTTCATCTGGATACAGTAAAAAGCTCTCAACAGAAACATTAATAACAGACAAATTTATCTATCCATTTGTGTCATGTTTGTTGTCGCATCCCAGCTCATTTGGGTCCTTTAGCAGAAGTATTTATTTTCTGAGAAAACAGCATTATTTGCACCCCTTTAACAAACTTCCTGTCTTATGTTTAAACAGGCTTTGAAGGTGAGCAACATCGTCAGATTTATGGAGTGATGGCCATTCTTTGTTTTGAATGGATCACTACTGTCATCAAATTTAAATTAATAACAAGAAATCGATTGTGGAACGCAGGAGCTGTTACTCAAGAGTCGCTTCAAAATAGTAGCTTAGGAAAATCTCTGTATCTTTTAGAGTGAAAGAAAAATAAAAGTACCGTTCGTTTTTTCGGAGTATGTGCATTCGTTTTGTCTGCAACTGAGTTTATGAAATGCTCAAATGATTAAGTACTATATAATCACTTGTAATTGTTGCTGTCTCAAACTCAATCCATTCTTCATTTCCTGTAGAATATTTTTTATAAATTTTTCCGCGAAAACTTTCGAAAAACTGTAAAAACCCCATAGATTTCATGTTTTTGTGGCAAATATAAACGCGTGTCTCCCCGATCAGTTTAACATGAGACATCGCGCTAATAAATAAACCTCGCGTGGTAATTTTTTGTTTCGCTTTTTGTCTTAAAGCAGCTGAACATTGCTACGATGCATTTCCTCCCTGATAAGTAAAAGCACGAGTTTGGAAATCAAACCATAGAAATGCATTGCTTTGCCAGTGAAAATCAGACTTACACAGGAACATGACTTTTTGGCGTTGAGTCTTGAAAGTCTTTAAAAGGCCAAGAAAACCTACTGCTGAAAAATCTACGAGTGAAAACCCGCGTAGAAAACGTCCGATTTTTGTCATGGCGAATATTTTTTGTAGGAAAGTACGGTATTCAAAGCACCAACGAAATGGCTTTTAAAAGGATTGTAATTTTACGCGCGAGTTTTCGATTTCCCGCCATCAGATTTGATGCTCCCACGCTATTGTCGTTCAGCGGATTCACGCATGCGCATGCAAAATGCCCTCCTGTTCCCGGTTACTTGAACTGAGATCTCAGCAAAAGAACAAGCCTGCCTTCTCATATAAACACAACAAAAACTTAAAGAGAAATTAGGTATGAGCCAAGCCAGCCCAGTAAAGCGAGCCAGTCCTGCTCCCAGGCTGGCTCACCTCATATGAACAGCCCCTCAGAGACCTACCATTTTCTAGGTACCATTTGCTGGCTATAAAGCTATACAAGCTCTCCTTGTAATGGTGCAATAAAGGCCATTTTGTATTAATTATAAGGATGCTTGTTCAATATATATATATATATATATATAAAGAGAGAGAGGGGAGTGAACTTAACATACATCCTTAAAGTCCACTTTCGTTTACCATACACCCCATGCGTTTCCCACCTCACCACACCCATACAGGGAAGGTTCATCACTAACAGCAGTATTACTAACACCGCGCATCACTCTAGTTATTTTTACTTTTTTCCATAAATTGAAAAAAGCGGTCAAAAAAAGCTGTTTTTTGGTCATTCATTTCTTTTAAGATCCTCAGCTTTTCTTCCTCTGCCTTCTCTCGCTTCTCACTGTAAGTCTTTAGAAATTCTAGCATTTCCGCCGCGGAGGATCGGCTCATTGGCTTCTTTCGGCATCTTTTCTTAGCACTTGCTTTTCTTTTTCCGGCAGAATCACTGGATTGAGGACCTTCAACTACAGACTCTGAAGAAGATTCATCGTCGTCTGATGGTTTCCGACCGTCACAGTCTAATGGATTTGACGAGCTTTCCATCGTGTACGTAGGTTTTACGGGAACGTCTTTGCCAAGACATTGAGAAAGCTCATTGTAAAATTTCCAACTTTTCCTATCGTTTCCGCTTTTATTGTTGTGGTCCTCAACTTCTTTTTGCTTTGCCAATAGTTTAGACCACTTCCTCATACACTGTTCCCCAGTAACCAGTCGTCCAGAAGTGGCGGTGAATTGCTCCGCTATCTTGTCGAAAATTTCCTTCTTCGTACTTTTCCCGCCAAACAAATGTTTATGATCGCTCCAGATAGAAATGAGAAGTCTAACATCAGCATCCTCCCACCGTTCAACTTTCGAAGGACCGTCTGACATTTCAGAGCATACAGATGGAGAAGGAGAAGCTGTAGAACGTTCAACGGTTGGAACAATGACTGCAAAGTATAAGGATGAAAGTTTTCTATCAACGCATGAACACGAATGAAAACGCGGGAAACAGCGAAAGAAAGCTCCCAGTAAAATTCGACTTTTCTAGCGATGTAAAGCGTCGGACATTTCACCTACCATTTACATATGCAGCACAATTATGATTCATAAGGCTAACAAGATCGTCGGTGAGCATATGACAAGATGCACATTCGTAAATATCTGCATTCAGCTCTGGAGTGTCCTTTTGATCCGCCATTGTTGTTGAGCTTGCATATTAATTGACCGGGAGAGCCTGAAACTGGTACCGAAGATGGCTTTGAAGAAATGGAACACGAATTTCCGTTTGGAACATTCCGTCCGGAAAAACAGGACCACCTTTTTAGATTTTCCACTTTTTCTGGGAATTTTCCAGTGGGACGAACCGACGAAACGTGTTCCATTTACCGCCGAACCGGAAATTCCGGAAATTTTGAGTAAATGGAAAGCGCCCCAGGCTACCCTCCGCCATTGGATAACTGGCATCACTCGAAATTTGGCGGTCTTTCCAGGCGGTACGGTTCAGTGGCGGTTAGGACGATTCATGATATTCATGTTTATGCAAAAGGTAAGGTTTCTTTGAATATGCTGAATATATTGTCTACTATTATGCATGCATGTTATTTTTAATTCCCTTGTCTTACTTATCTGCATGTCACTAAATGCCATTAAAATCGCTTCTCGGTTTTTGGCGCGCAGCCGTTAGCTTTTCAAAACGATTCGTCTTTTCTTAGTCTTAGTCTTATTGTTAGTCAAGGGTTGGCTTAGTTTCAGTGTGTATTGGTAGTTTTCGGATGAAACCATTTCGAAAACGGCGAACGAGATACTGGAGATAAAAAGGATGAGTAATGAATTCAAATTCTTTAATTGTAAAATGTGCCTAGTCGTACAGGACAATTAACCTTATGTTTTTCTCAACCGTGTAAATTGATTCACAAGGGGAAACAAACTTAAATATTTCCTGTGTAAGCTCATTTTTTTTTCTCCACTGGTCGAGAAAGCTCGGGGGACGCGAACACGATGCTATCATAATATAATTCAATAACATTAACCGAGAATTGTTTTTTAATACTACTGTAGATCGAGTCTTCTGAGGAGTGTGTTATGAAAGAATTATTTCGGTGCATATTAGTTGGTGTCGTTTCTTTATTTTGCTTTTAATTATTTACAGTGGCTTTCATACTGAACCCTGAGCTGTAATATTTTCTGATAATGCTTGACAACGTCAACAAAACATTTTGAAAAAGCTAACAAAACAGCCAGCATGTGCTACAACGAGTTTTAACAGCAATTGCAATTCAAAAATCCGACTCATTGTGTTTTTGAAAAGTTGCATTTTTTCGATTCCAGAATATCATCCTTTCTTTTATTGTGTTGTACTTCTACGCTGTGTTGGAAAGATTTTATCTCAATTCAAATGCTGTGTAGTTGTACATTTAAATATATTTATTTCATTTATCCTAATGCTCAGTCAATTCCAAGCATACCCATTCTCCCTGGGAATTTTTCTGGCATTTTGTTCCTACAGTGGGCATTTTTCATTGACAAAAGCTTCATTTGGGTAGGAAATTTTTCATTGTTTAATTAACCTTACCGCCTTAAGGGGTACCATCTAAACTTGTACTTATGTATGCGCTCTGTATATGCCATACTGTTTTGCCAAGTCTACCATGGAAAGTTTATCTTATAAAGTAATTTTGGGTTGTAAAGTTGTCCTCTTTGCAGTGTCTTTGGGGTCTGTATGGATATCAGGAAAACTGTAAGGTTGCTGAGTTAAGTTGTGAAGTATGTTTACTGTGAAACTCACAAAACCATGAACACCAGAAATATTTGTGGAATATTATTTTGTTACGAGAATCAGGCAAGAAGGCGCGAGATAACTTACACACAAACAGCAATGGTAGTTAGTTTGTGGTTTAGAGTTTTGCTTGCATATTCCTGAACTTATTTGTGTTTGGCCAGTACACAATCAACATTTCTGAAAATTTTCAGGTGTTCACTGTTTTCGGAGTTTGACAGTAACAATTTTCAGCTTTTTACTAGGTGACGTACATGTAACTTCTGCTTTGATACTGGGGCATTTGTTCCAACTTTTATTTCCATGGTGAGGTTTTGTATGTATCTACTGGCCCCACAGTGGGAGCAGGCATAATTTTGCAGCTTTCGAATTAAAAAATGACAAATGCCTGTGGAGGGGGGTGGGCATGTTTAGAATTGACTGAGTCATAAAGAAGCTTATCCTCTGTAATCCTTTTACCTATACAGCCCTATTTGTATTAAGAAGTTTCATTATGATTTATTAACCCACCCCATGTACCCTCACATTAAAACAATATAGTTCTAGAACGGTAGTACGTTACATGGAGAATTCATGTTTTTGTATTTGCTATCTTACTTTAATAACCCACACTAAGATTTGTTACAAGTGTCTTTTTAGAATAGATACTGCAGAATTAAACAATGGCTGCAACAGGTCAAGTTTGAAATAATATGTCTAGGCTGATTAATATTAACTTAAAAACACAATATTCCAAGTTAGTTTTCTCATCCTTATAGTATGGAATAAGTTCTACATTCAAGAGATTAAAACTCAGCTTTTGAGTCCTAGTAGTGCAGCATACACTTTTTTCTCTGCAGTAATTTCAATACATATTCTAAGAAACAGATAGTAATAAATAAGAATTTAGTAGGAAATTACAAGTATGCAATTGTTATACCATGTTAACCTGGATATCCTGATATTTCATACATCATATTGAAGTTGGCTGTGACCCTGGACAAACACTGACCTATTTATTATTATTTTGTCTGTTGTCTAAATTTGATATTATTTTCCCCATATTCATCATCAGAGGTAGAGTAATATTGTGCCATGTACATCAGCAATTAGTGCTGCACAAATGGGAATAATGATGAAAATAATAATAATGTTTTTCTGTTTCTTTTTCTTAAGCTTGTAGTGACAGGAGATCGGAAATATGACTTGAGCCCAGGTAAACATTTATTTTATGAGTAATATAATTAATGTATGTTATGGTATTAATCAGAACATGAATGTCAACATAAGATCTTTTTGTAGTCAATGGATCAGTGAAGTACCATAATGATTAATCATGAAATTTAATTTATCCTAGTACAAAGGACAGGAAAGAACATTATGGAAACATACACATGTAAAGAATGATAATTGAACTTTGATGCTGCTACAAACACCTTTGAAAATTCCCCTTAAAAAACAATTTATTGATTTACTTATAAAAACACATTCGTTTCTGTAGATATGTACCTGGTAGGTGTGAAGAGAATGCATCATTGAACTGTGTTGTATAGTGTATTTTGGTAATTTTAGCAATGGATCTTTGGTTTCCTTTTCGCATATAGCGGCAGACAGTCAACCTTTTGGTCATGTTTAAACTTCTTTTACCTTAACCTGCCTGACAGTAAATTGTAAGTCTATGTAAACAGAACACTATTCCTCTCACTAAAGGGCTTGCTCATGTTTAAGTACTCATTCGTTATTTGTCCTTCGACCCTCTCTCCCGCTGTAGGTGGGGCTAGAGTTGTGACAACGAGCATTCTTTGTTTGTTCGTCCTTGCAACCCTCTCTCCCGCTGTAGGTGGGGCTAGAGTAGTGACAACGAGCATTCTTTGTTTGTTCGTCCTTGCGACCCTCTCTCCTGCCATTAGGTGGGGCTAGAGTTGTGACAACGAGCATTCTTTGTCTGTTCGTCCTTGTGATCCTCTCTCCTGCCATTAGGTGGGGCTAGAGTTGTGACAACGAGCATTCTTTGTTTGTTTGTCCTTGCGACCCTCTCTCCTGCCATTAGGTGGGGCTAGAGTTGTTACAACGAGCATTCTTTGTTTGTTCGTCCTTGCGACCCTCTCTTCTGCCATTAGGTGGGGCTAGAGTTGTGACAACGAGCATTCTTTGTTTGTTCGTCCTTGCGACCCTCTCTTCTGCCATTTGGTGGGGCTAGAGTTGTGACAACGAGCATTCTTTGTTTGTTCGTCCTTGCAACCCTCTCTCCCGCTGTAGGTGGGGCTAGAGTTGTGACAACGAACATTCTTTGTTTGTTCGTCCTTGCGACCCTCTCTCCTGCCATTAGGTGGGGCTAGAGTTGTGACAACGAGCATTCTTTGTCTGTTCGTCCTTGTGATCCTCTCTCCTGCCATTAGGTGGGGCTAGAGTTGTGACAACGAGCATTCTTTGTTTGTTTGTCCTTGCGACCCTCTCTCCTGCCATTAGGTGGGGCTAGAGTTGTGACAACGAGCATTCTTTGTTTGTTCGTCCTTGCGACCCTCTCTTCTGCCATTAGGTGGGGCTAGAGTTGTGACAACGAGCATTCTTTGTTTGTTCGTCCTTGCGACCGTCTCTTCTGCCGTTTGGTGGGGCTAGAGTTGTGACAACGAGCATTCTTTGTTTGTTCGTCCTTGCGACCCTCTCTCCTGCCATTAGGTGGGGCTAGAGTTGTGACAACGAGCATTCTTTGTTTGTTCGTCCTTGCGACCCTCTCTCCTGCCATTAGGTGGGGCTAGAGTTGTGACAACGAGCATTCTTTGTCTGTTCGTCCTTGCGACCCTCTCTCCTGCCATTAGGTGGGGCTAGAGTTGTTACAACGAGCATTCTTTGTTTGTTCGTCCTTGCGACCCTCTCTCCTGCCATTAGGTGGGGCTAGAGTTGTGACAACGAGCATTCTTTGTTTGTTCGTCCTTGCGACCCTCTCTTCTGCCATTAGGTGGGGCTAGAGTTGTGACAACGAGCATTCTTTGTTTGTTCGTCCTTGCGACCCTCTCTTCTGCCGTTTGGTGGGGCTAGAGTTGTGACAACGAGCATTCTTTGTTTGTTCGTCCTTGCGACCCTCTCTCCTGCCATTAGGTGGGGCTAGAGTTGTGACAACGAGCATTCTTTGTTTGTTCGTCCTTGCGACCCTCTCTTCTGCCGTTTGGTGGGGCTAGAGTTGTGACAACGAGCATTCTTTGTTTGTTCGTCCTTGCGACCCTCTCTCCTGCCATTAGGTGGGGCTAGAGTTGTGACAACGAGCATTCTTTGTCTGTTCGTCCTTGTGACCCTCTCTCCTGCCATTAGGTGGGGCTAGAGTTGTGACAACGAGCATTCTTTGTTTGTTCGTCCTTGCGACCCTCTCTCCTGCCATTAGG